CTAGTAAATGACGAATTTCCCTTGTTTATTGAAGTCACACTCCTTCCCTATTATCTACTTCTGGTAATATGCTACACAGCCCTAAGCTTAACCCTAGTACTACAGGTACATTGGTCTCATCCCTACTCTCTGTCGTTGTAGCCCTTAACTCTGTTACCTGTTGGGGAATGAAGGGCTGCATAGCTGGAACTATTTACTCTTGTACACAACCCTAAACGTATCCCTCGTACCATGTACATGGCAGGGTGCGAAATTAACGCGAGTCCGCAGTCAATACTCCCTGATTTACTGTCGGATTCCATGATTTGAATATGCCGTCCGAGTCCGTGTGACTCATTGAAAATTCTGTTATACTAACTAGTTCGTTTCAGAGCACGGCGTCGCAGAATTACCGTATTTTTTCAGCAATTCTTTAATTTTTAACTTCAGACTACGGACTCCCTCATTTTGCTACGGACTCCCTCTTTTTGAGGGCAGCGGACTCCCTTGTTCAAAAGTTAATTTCTACCCCTGACATGGTGTGTATTATGCTGCGTTTACACTATCGATTTTTGTCAGAAAATCGTCCGAGTCGTGCAAAATAGAACACGTCGGTTCTATATCTCCAACTCGGCGACTTGACTTCGATTCCGACTCTAACACAATCGAATTTCTTGGAATGCACTTTGGTCTAGTCGGGGGCAAGTTGGAATGCACTTGAAATCGCTACGATTTGCTGACAAAAATCGATAGTGTAAACGCAGCATTATGCTATGCATAGAGTCAGACTATACATATAGATGGGATACATGATAGTATCAGGAGTAGATAATTCTATTCTACTCCTAATCTATATAATTCTAGATAAGCCCTATTATCTACTCCTGATAGTATACATATGTTTATGTTACTATGTCAAATGCACTATAAGCCTTCATGACCCCAAACCTTATAAACCCTCTAACCTAATGCCATACTACGGCAAACCTAACCCTAGACAACTCTAAACCTAACCCTACACAATCTAAAACCTAACCCTCCACACCCCCTAATCCTAACCCTGTATATATAGACAACTCTAAACCTAACCCTACACAATCTAAAACCTAACCCTCCAAACCCCCTAATCCTAACCCTGTATATATAGACAACTCTAAACCTAACCCTACACAATCTAACACCTAACCCTCCAAACCCCCTAATCCTAACCCTGTATATATAGACAACTCTAAACCTAACCCTACACAATCTAACACCTAACCCTCCAAACCCCCTAATCCTAACCCTGTATATATAGACAACTCTAAACCTAACCCTACACAATCTAACACCTAACCCTCCACACCCCCT